GGGGGAGCCTCAGCCTGGCCTGCGCCCTCTTGCAGTCCAGGAGCCCTTAGGGGCTGTCCAACTGACAGCTTTTCCCACCACTACCGCTGTGCTCACCAGCCAGCCATGAGCCCAGCTCAGGGCTTCTGGCTGAGCAGAGCTCACCCTGTGGAAGTGCACTGACCACCAGGGGGAAGCTCCTGTGTTGAGCGTCTGCTCCCTGATGGTCAGTGCACATCATAGTGACCAGTCGGTCCATCGTTCGGTCAATTTGCATATTAGCCTTTTATTATATAGGATTACCTCAAGAAATAAATAAATAAATACATGCATGTGTAGATAACTGTTTTTACAATATTCTTATTTAACATTTTTCTACTTGCATAATTTTATATTGACTCGCCAAAGGGGAAAAAAATGAAAAATATTTATTGCTCTTGAATTTCACTCAGCCATCACATACATAAGAGTGTGTGTGACTGTGCACACCGATCTGGTTTCTGTATAATTTCAACTATTTGTGTACACTACAAACTGTTCAAATTGTTCTTGGTTGACTATAATGAAATGTTTTGGTTCTTCAGATATTTATACAAGAAGGATATCAGAAAAATAGGTGTATTAATTTTTAAAAGCAAGGACTCTATGTGAATGTTTGCAAGATCTGGTCCCAGTAATGGAACTTGCCTTAAATCTTGTCATCCCAACATCAGGACAAATCTAGCGAATGCTCGGAGAGACTGTAAGGCTCCAGACTATCAGTTTTATCTGTGCAATGTCAGATATGAATTAGGTCTCAGCAAAAGAAAGCTGACTTGGCTAATTCTGTCTAATTTCTCTGGACCCCGCCCTCTCTAGGATGCTCAGGGAGTCTTCACAGAGCAGAGAACTTACCCAGTAAGGGATTTCTGGCATATTTCCAACTGGTCCAGCAAGTGTGGTAATAGCTGCCCCATGGTTTCATCTCCGACACAACACTGAACCACATTTGGCATTTCGTGTGCCCGATTCATGATCTTCACCCAAGACTTATCTATATTGGAAAAGCGCTTGGCTTCCTACGAGAATGAGGTGACAAAGCACATTGGGCACGTCTGTAATCTCAAGGACAGAGCGTCTCACATACCTCCCGCCAAAGTCAGATTTCTGACCAGTCTGGATACCCCAGCTATCCATCACCAACATGTCACACAGGAATTCTCCTCAGGCCTTTTGCACCTACCACCCCCTTTCTTAAATAAGAAGCCTTAGCTCATCCCTGGTACCCCATTATGGTAACTAAAAACAGGGAACCAATACAAAAGTAATAATACAATCTGAGACAATCTGAAAGGAAAGGACATTCCCACTGTTTCCACCAGTTATCTCTAAATGAAGTGAATTTTAAGCTTTTCAGGTTTTCTGCATTGAATTGCTTGTGTAATTAGAAAATAAAATAATCATTTAGAAATAACATACAATATTAATTTTATTATAATGCTAATATTGTAAAAACAATTTTCAGGAAAAAATGTAAAATGGGCAGATTTTTTTGAGAGTAGGAATGATTTTTATTTTCATCATTAAGACTTTCTGTATTGCCCTAACCAGTTTGGCTCAGTGGCTAGAGCATCGGCCTGTGGACTGAAGGGTCCCAGGTTCGATCCCGGTCAAGGGCATGTACCTTGGTTATGGGCACATCCCTAGTAGGGAGTGTGCAGGAGGCAGCTGATCGATGTTTCTCTCTCATCGATGTTTCTAACTCTCTATCCTTCTCCCTTCCTCTTGTAAAATATGAATAAAATATATTTTTTTTAAAAAGACTTTCTGTATTTTTTCAATGAGCATGTACCAACAAATATGAGAGCAGGAAACCCCACGTAGCTCCTTCAATGTTGCATGTGCAAATTTCCATTATTAAGTCCAATTTGAGATTCGTCTCCACCCATCAAAAAGAAAAGCATGACCAAATATGAAAGCAAAAATAAATAAATACTTAAAATTTTAGTGTAGGCTTGCATTCACTGGTAGCCAAAAAAATCAGCTAACAGGTATGTCCTCTATAATTAAACTAAAAATGAACCAAAGAGATAGCTAGAACACCTAAGTAAAGAGAACACTCAACATAATCATGCCTCTAAAATTCAAATATATTGTTAAAATGTTATGATTTTGCAAACAACTTAAGGTAATTGAATAAGAATCCTTGCGATTTGGTAAAAATGGGTTTTTTTAAGTACCTCAAAATACACTCCATATCTACCTAGTGAGATGATTACAATTTGATGAGCAAAACACTCCACACTTGAGAAGAGGGCCTTTTTGTTTGAGAGCTTTTTTCCTACAGATTTCCACCCCTCAATTTTACAGTTCAGATATAATTGGGTATATTGTATAGTGGGAGTTATTTTAATCTGTCAGTAGTAGAGGAACAAATTATCCTACCATTGTCAAGATAACTACTCCATAATTCTACCCTGTTCCAAATTCTACCTTCAAATTATCTCAAGAAGTATGTCAATTAGGTAGGCACTCATTCTTTGTTTGTTTTAACCCTCAATTTCCTATAAAACCTCTCAGCTTCGAAGTGTTCTTACTCTGATTGTCATGCCCCTTCTTTCCCTTAATTGCTCTCTCTCTTTGAAAAACAGATCAGTAGCAACCACACAAAAAAATGGGGAGGGGGCAGGAACATAAATTGAATTACGTGTTTTTTTAAAAAAAAAAATGATTAGTTCTCTAAGTTAAACACCTGATGAAATCATAAAGAAAATTCTAAAACCTTGGGAAGTTGCTTGGCAATATCTCCTCCCACAAAGACGGCCTCTAAGTAAATCCACAGGTTCTGCACCAGCATCCAGTTCTCGATGATGTCTGTCGAGTTGGAAAGTAACTGCACCCATTTCTGAATCTGGGCTTTGAATGGCATATTGTACCTGAAATGGGAAATATATCCAGCATTTAGGGTTCGGTGTTTTATGCTTTAACTTTATTGTTGTTGCTTTCAAAAATTAAAGAGGTTTTTAAAAACCCTAATTGTTACTGATTTCTTTACAACTTTATGTTGCTGGCTTTTAAAATGATGCTGCCAAGTGATTAATTCACCACCATGCATTGGACATTGTTAGACTAACATTTTCCCTTTTGATCCAGATCATAGAGAGGTGGGAGACATGTCCCCTGAGGAGCAGGGCAGGCATGAGATTGGACTCCACCCAGCAGCCACCGTATAATTCTGGTCATTGTTGCTACCGCCAAGAGTAATAGTCTCGCTGCTGAGCTTCTGTGTCTTTTCTTTGGTGTTCCTGGTGTTCGTCACACAAATCCACATTTGTTGCCATTGATAAGCAAAGTTTCTCCATCCCTAATTTTTATTTAATTTATATGCGTGCCTTTTCTACCACCCTAGGTTGTTTCATCTTCCATCTATCCCTCATTCTGGTTGGGTATGAGTATTAACCAAATTTGTTAAATCTCACCAAATCCTAAGTAGTTCAGACTCTATGTTACCAAAGGTCTAAACCTGTAAGACCCGATTTTATATTCTATATCATTCATTTCAAATACTTAGATGTACCCAGTAAGTGGAAAGAATAAGCATTTTAAGTAGTTATTACTCCCTACATTAAAATTATTGATACATATATACACAGAGAAAAGAGTAGCATTTTAAAGATAGGATAACAATAATCACATCTCATTGGTATCCACATTCTACACAATTACCATATGTTTGAGAAGATGCTAGTGGACAAAAGTTATTTCAGAAAGAGTAAAGGGAAGTAGTAACCCAAGGAAATGCCAGTTTAGGAATCTATGGCTTGCAAAGCCAAAGCGTGTCAGCCTTGCTATTACTGCCAGATAGAAGTATTAGACTGGCATTAGTCTGTACTGTTTTACTTTTCTTTGTGAATTAAATTCACTCAGTATCCTGATCATTAAAGTATGTGCACTTCTAGTCCATAAACATGTGGGCAAAATGGTTTTCTGGGTCGAATGATTAGTTTGAAATTCAGAATAATCCTCCCCCCACCCCGGACTGTAGAGCCTGCTGAGCTGCTGGCTGTGCAGTGAGGCTTGTCAGCAACAAGGCTGAAATGTTCACAGATCCAAGAGGCTGACTGCATGTTGCGGATTGTATCTACTGATATTCTGTTCTCCTGGACCATTAGTCCAATGGATGGTCTCAGACACAATCTACAAATAGAGGACAACGAAATAAAAACAGTATCACACATGCTGTGCCAAAAGCTAAAATTAAAGCCAGTATTGTTAATATTGAGTAAATTGTAAGAGGGGTATTGTTGCATTTTTTACCATAAGCATTCGTTTCCCTTGAAATGCTTGATCTTATGGTTCTCAAACCTCAAGAAAGAAAGATGGAGGTGTTCCTACCTGTTGCTCAGTAGGGAGCCCAGCAACATCAAGCTGTCCTCCATGCTGGCGATGATTTCCGAGGTGCTGTCTCCTCGCAGGAGGAGTTCTCCGCGAGTTTTAAAGCTGCCAAATGTGAAGGTTTTGCTGTCCCATTCGTTCACCACTTGCTTCAGCTTTTGCTCAATGTCTCTCTCTTTCACGGCACCGATGCAGATGTCCTAGAAAGTTGCAAGCCCTCCCTTTATCACATGAACGTCACACATGCTTCCCAAATAGTCTGGGTCCCACAGAGGGCCTATTTTCACCTTTTGTTTCCCATGTATCTATAAATACTCATGTTCCCAAAATCTAGTAAACGAATAAGTTCTGCAGAGGTTGTGCACAGCATAGTGATTATAGTGAACAATACTGTATTATAAACACTAAACTTGCTAAGAGACTAGATCTAACTACATGATGAAAGAGGAGTTCTAAGGCTGCAATATAATTGCAATATACATGTATATCAAATCAATATGTTGTACAACTTACACTTACACGAAGCTATATGTCAGTTATATCAAAATTTTTAAATCGGGATCAACAATATGCAATAACCTTTTAAATGTTGAAACTTTCATCAGACTCAAATTTTAATGTTTCTATGATTAAGTCAAATCAGTGCAATACTAGAGGAGGGTATTAGCAGGATTCTGATTTCTTCCCCACTCTGATCACTTTCCCAGTCTCCTCTGCAGCCTTCTCCTCTGCTGGACCAGTAATCCAGCCCTGCCTTTGCTCTTTTCTGGTCTCATGTTCCAGATGAGTGGAGCTCATCTGTGCCCATGCAGTCAGTCAGTAAGCTTTTGTATCTCCAAGTGAGACCTACATCCAAGTTTCCTGCTGGGTTTCTCTGCTTAACTACATAAGGGAGCCCCAAGCACAATTTGTGAAATACCAAACTCATGCCCAAAATCAAGTGGACAGTCTTTGTACCTGTCACTCAACCTGATTCCCTTCTAAGATTCCTTGTCTCAGTGATAAGCCCCATAATCCATCTAGATCTCTCAGGAAATCTAGACCTCATCCTTAGTCCCTCCACCTTATATCTCCTACCATGTTCCCTCCATCACCAAATTCTACCCAATTTTTCCACCTACAGATCTCTTCATCTTTTCTCCCCTCTCCAACTTAACTATCTGCCCACTCATCCAACACACCACTGAATCTTGCCTCAGATATTCTTATAAGCTCCCAACTGGTTTGCCCATCACCTCCCTTGCTGTTGTCCCATACTTTATCCACACAGCTAGCAGAGTGAACTTCACAAAATGAAAATCTAACCATGGCATCCCCTGCTCAAAATACATCTTCCAGATGGCTCCTCACTACTCCAAAGCCTAAAATTCATAACATGTTCTAGCCCACTGCGCCTGCCCTTTCTCAGCTATCTCCTCTTCCCCCTATCCCCATACCCCAGCCATTCTGGCCTTCTAATGGTCCCCCAAACACAGCTCAGATCCTTCACACATGCTTTTCTCTCTGCCTGGCATTGCCTTTTTTGTACTTTCCAACCCCCTTTGCACTTTCCAAGTCCCTCACCCCCACCACACAAGCACACTCCCTTTATCCAGCCAGTCAGGTGCATCCACCCCACCCTCCTCTACCTTCATCACCCTTCCCTCACCTCCCAGACAGGTCAGCCCCTTCACTGTAGGAACTCCACAGAACATCATACTTTTCCTTCAATGGTATTTACCACAGCTTGTAACTGTATCCTTATTTGAATAAACATTTCATTAAACAAATTAATTAATTACCTCACATCCCTAGCACTAAGCACAGAATTTATCACAGCAACATTTGCTGAAGGAATTATGTGGATGACAGGAAAACGGTCTTAATTGTCTTGGCATGGTGTCCGGATGCAACATTCCACAATGCAGGACTACTATCAAATAAATCCCGTGAGAGCTTCCAATCTCCCACCATGCATGCTACCTGCTGTACCTCTATTTCCTCTTTGTATTTCAGAAGAGGTGCCTCCATGATGTTCCTTAACTTAAAAGTTTCATTCCCCACATCCAGACTATGCCCAGTGAGAGCAGTTATCCTTGCCCAGTGCCTGTCCATCATGGCCTTGCTGGCCATGTGTTCCAGCAGGGGGCAGCACTCGCTGAAATCATCGATGGTCTTCTTCAGATCCAGAAAAGCCTGCCAGTCCTTTGCTGCCCGGGGCAGCTTCCGACATCTGCAAAGGGGAGGCAACAGGAAAGTTCATTCGCCTCTGAGCCCAGAAGTCTCCAGTCCAGGACTGTCTGCCAGCATCTCTATCAAAACTAGTCACTTCAAATATCACATTTTTAAATCTCAGAAGTCAGAGGATATCGATTAGTCACATTTATATGATAAAAATTACTCCTCCCAGTCAGGAAAAAAATTTCAATCCCCCATAACAACTAACTAGATAAAAGGCATTATTTTAAAGGATAGAGGTACCTCCTGATTCAATTCAATTCTACAAACATTTCTTGAAACCCTATCAAGTAAAAAACACAGCAGAGAGTATCAGACTGTCAACCAAAAAATTACAACCAATGACCCTCCATTTTCTCTGGGTTCAATACTTAACAGGACGTGGAAAAACCATGGGCTCTTGCTTTCATTCCAGGAAATCATCTTACTAAACCCTGAATGTTTGATAAGCATCATATAAATAGAGATCAGCTCCAAGCTGCAGAAGAGCCTCTGACAAGATTCATCCAGGTTTACAGGGTGTGCTTGTCTCCCTGGGTACACACGTGGGACAATTAATAAATGGCATTTGAAAAGGGTGATGTCTAGCAGACAACTGCAATGCAGCGTGACGTGCTTTCAAAACATCTGGAGGGAGAACTTGACAGCCAATCAAATAAGAAAGCATTTGAGGTTCAATAGTTCTGAGCATGCTAAACACTGAACTCCTCACCTGTTCTGGAACTCTAAAAGTTCATTGTTGATTTTTTCAATATTTACTTCTGACCACAGAATATCGTGGTAGCTATTTACAGCTTCTATAACGCTGTTGTACAGAGTGTATATTTTCTGGAGAAGATTTAGTTGCTTCTTTATTTCGAGAAGCTGAGGATACTGGGTAACTGGCAGACCAAAAAGCTCCTCTCCCCCAGTATAGGTGATGTACTTCCGATAGATATTATCAAATTGATTCTAATAAAAACACAAGGGAGAATGTATCAAAATAATTTACACATGAACAAGCATGTAAATTTAAAAAAAGACTGGCAAATCTCAATATATGATCTCTGAGCACATATACAGAAAAATACCAAATGAATGTAATTAATTACATAGACACCAACTCTACCTGTAACCATACCAAATCATATTTTTTAAATGTAAGTCCATACCATTTTACACAATAAACTTTTCTATGTCAATAGAGAGGGAAAGGGGAGTGTTTAAAACACATTAAGGTTTTGGTTGTTTAGAAACTAAACAGGTTTAGTAGAAACTAAAAAGGTTACCTGAAACATGATAAGCCTATCACTGGCTTCCTGGGGTTTCAAGCCGCTAGCCATTGGGCCATTCTGAAACAAACAGTTAAGATAAATATAAAATAGAAGGAAGTGTTTGCATATAAATTTCATGAGCTCAAAGTATTTGAACATCAAAGTTAGTGTTCATGCATGTCATATACATGACCGGAACCAATTTTTATTTAAAAAGGTCTCAGGAAAGTAACTCATTTGGAAATATTTTCAAGTCTAACTCCAAGTTACTGATGCAACTTCCATATGTCAAGAAATTCTGAAAATAAAAATCTGTACTATTCATTTCTTAGGTGTCAAGGCACAGACTAATAACTGCTCTATAAAAAGCACATATCATATCTGGGTTTTTCGTTGTTGTTGTTTTAATTTTTTAATATTTTTTGTTGATTTCAGAGAGGAAAGGAGAGGGAGAGGGGGATAGAAACATCAATGATGAGAGAGAATCATTGATCGGCTGCCTCCTGCACGCCCCCTATGGGATTTAAGGTCACAACCCAGGCATGTGTCCTGACCAAGAATCGAACCGTGATCTCCTGGTTCATAGGTTGATGCTCAACCACTGAGCCACACCAGCCAGGCTAATGTCTGGTTTTGAACTAAAGCACTAATGCCAAAAAACTCACAGATTTAACCATTCTAACATCTATGCATAAAGTAACCTATAGCCTTAACATTCCAATCAGGTCTTCTCACATTAGAACACCTTAAATATGTGGATTTCTGTGCTTCTTCACCCATGAAACTAGTGCAGGGGTCCAATTCCCTAACTTTGTTAACTTTGTAGTTTGGTGTGCTAGTAGTGAATAGGAACAAATGCTACCCTATGCTCTACATATTTCTCTTCCATAGCATATTGTACTGTAGTCGGCTAAAATGGGTCTCATTACGCATCATATTCCCAGCAGAAGGTTCTACTAAAACTCATATATGTATGAGAAAATATGGACTCCATCTGCCTTGTCCATTTTTGTGTCTTCAGCACCAAGGGCAGTGCCTGGCACATTCTGGGTGCTCTACAGCACTTATGGAACTAATGAATGCTGTGGGGAGGGGAACCATTTTAACTATTCGTAAATTGTTTTTGTCTATGCAAGTTTAGAAAGCTATCAAACAACTTCAGTCACAGTCCAATGACATAATATAAATAGCACTTTTTATGGTATTTTTTTCTTTCTTTATTGATTAAGGTATTACATATGTGTCCTTATTTCCCCATTCCCCCCACCCCACCCCCTGCTCATGCCCTCACTCCCCTGGTGTCTGTGTCCAATAAACAGCACTTCTAAATTTCCCATTTCCTATTAAAATAATTCTGATGAACTATAAGAGAAAAAAATTGTGAATGGGAAATAAATGTGCTCTCATGAAAATAAAATTCCCATTCCCAGGGAATTTCATTAAATTTGACACAATCTTTAAACAACTACATTTTACATCCATGCACTCATATTCCCAATTACTAGGTATGCATGCAAAAGTGGGACAGTAAAGAAGGCTGATAGGAAAAAATGGATTCATCTGAAAAGTGGTGTTGAGAGCTCTATGGACACTCTGGATTGCAAGAAAGATAAACAAGTAGTTCCTAGAGCAAATTAAGCCTGAAACATCACTCGCGGCAAACATGACACGACTGAAGCTGTCCTACTTTGGGCACATCATGAGAAGGCAGGGTTCTTTGGAAAAGACAATCATGCTGGGTAAACTGGGAGGCAGAGGGAAAAGAGCAAGACCAAATAGGAGGTGATTGAAAACATGAAAGAAGCCACAGGCATGCGTGTACAGGAGCTGAGCAGGGCTGTTGAAGACAGAACATTACAGACATCACTCATTCATAGGGTGATCAGGAGTCAGAGCCGACTCAACAGCATGTCACACACACACACACACACACACACACACACACACCTGCATGCTCTATTCACTCTTCCCCAAAAATACACAAAGAGAAGGCTAGTGTCATACCAAATCATAGTCCAAATAGAACTGCTGACAGTCTTGGAAGAAGACCTCCACAGTACTAATAAGCTCTTTCCTGAAACCAGGCTGCAGTGAGGCTAGTTCATTCTGAACTTCACTGGCACGTGCCAGAAGCTTCTCCCAGGCATAATGCAGAGTATCAACTTTGTCCATCTCCTCCTTTGCTATCAGAAGCCCATATTTGTTAAGTAGGGCATAGGATTCCTACACAAAAGGAGAAAAATTTAATTCCTATCAATCAGGTGCATATTTCTACACACAGTCACTCATTAAGCATTTAGAACAGAAAAGATCAGCATGATCGGGACCCGCCCATAGAGTTCTGGTTACTCTATTTGCAAACGGTAAAAGCTTAAGTGAGCAACTGAGCCCCTTAATTTCATTTCCTGATTTGCAAAATGGGAAAATTCCCTGGCTGCTTCACAGGGATTTCTGTGAATATCAAAAAAATATATCATTTTAATGCAATTTGAAAACTAAAATCATTGTACAAATTACAGGTATCTGTGCTGTACTTCACTTGCTAGTGAGATGCACAGGGTGTTCTTGAATCAGAGCCTGGTCATTGTCCTCAGGATGTAAATTCCTGGATGACTCTCTTTGCCAGAAGATTAAAATGAAGCAAAGGTAGATTTTCATGAGAAAAAAATTTCCCTAACTATCCCTGGCCCCTTCCTACCACGACTCCTCCCCATTGAGGTAGGAAGGATATATCACCATTGATTTGCAAAAAGACTGTTGCTTTGGGCAAGCATAGCCCTGTGCCTCTCTCCCCTTTCCCTCTTTCTCCTTTTTGGCATACCTCTGATCGGCACCCCAACCAATAAAATGGAGCAGGTTACAGAGGCCTACAGCTGCCCAACACTGCCTCTGATGGATGAGTGAGTCCAATTCTGGGATTTAGTATTCATAAGCCCTGGTGTGTGTAGAGTGGGGGTGGCGGGTGTAATGGGAATATGAGAGTTGTACACTAGATCATGTCTTCCAAATAAGTTCTAGCCATAATAACGATTGTACTTTGATCTTGACTACTTGACTATAGTTTTGTCTTAACTCTCAGGTGGAGAAAACAAGGTTGTCTGTTACTGGGCCTCCTCTTCACACCCCAGGGACGCCCCTGGTCCTACACAAAGCAGGGAACATCTTTGCCTTGATGTTCCCATTCCCAAGAAGAGCAGAGCAGATCAAGTGATTTCCCAACACAGCAGAAGTGCAAATGTGCTGTCACCTGTACCACATTCACGGTAATTTGACATTTCTAAAAATTCAAAGAGGGGTCCAGATAATGTGAGACTAGATATGATCCTGAGCATCAGAGTGTAAGTCCAGGCATTCAAGTTATGGTGTGAGGAACAGACAATGTTTTTATGTCTGGAATTGTTTTAATGCTACAATTATACTAGTCTCATTTAAAAGAACAAATATAGTGGCAGATTGCTGATAAAACATTTTCATCAAGAAAAGATAGTATGATAATAAAAACAAAAGTAATGTGCAACACTAATCAAATTGCATAATTTCTTTGACCCTCAGTTTCCTTGTGGCTAAAGAGGGGGTTGCAGGAAGGATTAAATGAGTTAACACATGAAAGGACACTGTTAGTACCCCATCCAGGTCCTGTTTACCAGCACGTATTTGCATCCCCAACTGCTGAGAGTGTTCACTGTGGGATCATCCTGCCCTCTTTCTAGAAAATTGTCCTCAGCTGAATAGGAGCCTTCTCATGGGGAGATTATGGTTGATGGTCAACAGACGTGGGGGTACAACGGGCAGTCCCCTTGTCTCAATGTGGAAAAAAACTGTGTGGTACAATCCATGCTCTATGGCTCCCTGTGGGATCAGGCTGAAGTCAGTCTACAGCTAATACCCTATCTTCACTTAGTTCCCCCCAACCTGACCTCATCCTTTCCTGTTTCCCTCACTCCCCTTCTCTAGTGAATATTCATCAATTAATCACTTGTATAGAAATCCTCATCTCAGGCTCTTCCCCTAAGGGTCTAATACTGATCCACAGAAGGCACCCTATAGGGGTTAGACATCATCTTTACTGAAATTTGCTATTCTTAGGTTTAGCACCCAGTAACTCCAGTCCAGACCTGGTCAGTATTTCAGCCAATCTCACCCAACCTGTGGAGATAATTCTATAATGAACAAATGATTATCAATTACCTCGATGGGTCCTATTTGAAAGTCAATGACAATCTGCTGCTCCCTGATTTCCTTCAGTGCCACCATAGCAATCCGAATATCATCTAGGTCTTTAATTGGACGATTCAATTTCTTACTGAACTCTTCAACAAGTGCAAAAACATTTTCCATCTCACTCCTATATTTTTTGTTACAGTGACGGCCGATGACAACCATCCAGGCCTTTGTCTCAGACGTCAAGGTGAACTTCAAGTCAGCTATAAAACCCAAGTGTCCACAGTTCAGTTTGAAAACTTTGAACCAGTATAAGAAGACCCCATGCAACTGCATGTGATAACCCTCTAACATGAAAAAAATCAAACTGGAAAAAAATTTATTTTTCCTAATCATTATATATTCATTTATTTTATAAAGCTTGTTTTCTAGCAATTGAAAACACATTTCAAAATGCTAAAAAGGAAACACAGTACATATCAAAACCGTTGGAGGTAAGTAAGCCTGACGTTTGTTACTGTTGTTTATTAAAGAAAGGATAAACTTTAATTGCAAATATCACAGATCCCCTTTCTCTGAAGTAGCATTTATTTTCAAGGTTTAGCAGCAAAGTATTCAAAATAGTCCAGAATAAATAATTATGCAAAAGGGAATTAAAAACAAGTCTACAAATTGGTCTTAAAGCTTAAGGCCTATAAAAGGAAAGTCAGTCTTTAAGATAAGCTAAAACTCTCTGGAGTACTAATCTCCATAAAGAGACAGAATGATACTGTTGAATTTTTATGTCTGTCTGAAAGAAAATGAACCAACCTGTGTACAGAGCAATGGTGCCGACAGAGATATATTCAGGCTCAGCATTAATCTTCTGCTCTAGGTTTTGGAAATAGAGAATCTGGGATTCAAATTCAGGAAGCAAGGGGTTTTTCATAATAAACGTCATGAGGGTTTCTTCTTTCTCCTTTTGCCAAATGTGATTGTAGCATTTGAAGCAATCCATGGATGCAATAATTTCCTAGGATACAAATAAGATTATGTGTGTTGAGAAAGAAGAGTCAGAAATGGCATCATGCTAACGGTGAATATTTGCCAACTGTTGATGGTTCCCATGGATTCATTAAAATGTTTAATTAGTGAACTGGGTGATTAGTTGTAAAGGCCACAGAACTGGGACTATATACAATAGTGTAAACAGTAACCCAAGACTAGTAACTGTGGAAATGGGACCATCCACAGCCAAAAAAAAGTAGGAGAGTCTTACGGACAAGGCCCTCTTGATAGCAGCTAGACCTCAGATAAAAAAAACCACAGCTCAAGATCATGTCATAGAGAGTGAAGGGGAATATAAGTTTTGGGGGCTAGCAATCTGAATCTGTGCCAGTAACCTGTATTCTGACAATATTCTTGCTAGTAGATAATTAGCTCCATTCTTATCTGTGATGCTTGTAGTGCCTTGCAGAACCTGTTTCCTGGAATACTCCCATTATACAGAGGCCATAAACCATGAACCATACACAACTCCCAGAGGGGGTTGTCAGCACTGGCACCAGCCAGCCAGGCCTTTGGGTGTAATCTCACTTCCCCCATCCCAACCCATGGGGGCTGCAAAGCCCGGGAAAAGTCCGGAAGCCTGATCCATATTTGGGGGACAAAGAAACTAAAAGGGATAAAAGGAAGGCTTCCTCCATACTCATCACTCAGGCTTTGGAGGCTGATTCCCCTGAGTCACCGCACTAGTGCATCTGCAACTCTGCATTAAAGGCTCCTCTTCTGAATCCTCTGAGTGCCCAACTGATTATTCCTCTGCGCTGCCTGGCAGCTTACCTACAACAAGAGTACTATGGGAAAAAACACTCCAAGATCACTCTCTCTCCCCTCACTTCAATGGAAACCTATAGATTTGTTCCTTAAAGTCAGAGAGTGGAGCATAGATCTGGAGAGGCAAATAACATATCCAGCATCAAACCCCACTGCATCAAATCACATAAAATGTATAAATTCATTCGATAAGGACTGACATTTATATGATATTAAATCTTCCCATCCAGGAACATAGCATGTGTTTCTAAATCTGCCAATTTTTTTTAAATTCCTTAAAGTTTAGAGTAATCTTTTTCCCACCGCTTTGTTCTGTACCAGCTAAAGCAGCAAGCCACAGCAGGGTACAATCCTCTGTGCCACCTCCCTCTCCCTCTTCTTCCTTTTGGGCCAATTTGGTCACCACTTTGTTTTGAGAATGTTCTTTGCACAGTTCGACCTGAACTTTAAATATTTTATACTTATTTCCATAACTCAGCAGCTTTAATGGTTTCTTATACTACCTTCTAACAAGTATCTTTCACCTTTTGATAGTAAAGTTCCATACTTTTTTAGAGTGTTATTAAATGGGTTAATATTTGACTATGTTTTTTATTGTTGCTATGATTTTTTGTTGCTATTCTGATTATGAAATTTCCTAAGTTTTGTGTGTGTGCCTCAATCCTGCTTTACTCATAATCCCTATTTTATTAAATGTGCAAATTTGCAAAATGAAATTTTTAGGAACACGTTTATTGCATTATAGCAGAAATGCCTATAGTTATCTTTCAACTGACTACCAATTTAACTCTTATTAGGCCTTATTTTTTTCAGATTAGCTTCTTGGATTTACTTGGTAGATAATCATATCATCTACAAAGAATTAAAAATTTGTCTCCTCATTTATGGTGGTTATACATTTGGGAATCAAGTTTTTCTATTGGTTTACATTATAATTTCAGAGTTATATCTGCATAAGAATTTTTTATAAATTGAGATAAAATTAAAAATGCAATTATTTGAAAAATAGAATATTATGAACAGCATTCTAAATGGTCCAATTATATTAAGTAAATTGCACCAACCTGTACCAAACCAAGGAGTAGTTTCACTTCAATTCCCAACATGTAGCTAAAATGTCCCTCAGAGATTCAGGTAGAAGTGTTAAGACTTCTCACCCATTAAAATCCAGAAAGCTAAGCCTGTCACTGCTTGTCCCAACCACAACTGCTCCCCAAGCAAGGGCTGAGGTGTTGACATGAAGTGCCCGGAATGCATTGCAACAGCAGGTAAACATTCACAAGTGTGTGATGGTTGGGAGAATGAATTACAGATTATCAAAGATCCCTGGATATAGGTAGACATTCCAGAATCCTGAGCTCTTGAAACTCCAAGAATTTATAATATTAAGATACACTCTAACTAAATGTTTTAGACTTTTATTTATTTTATGTCACTCTTTATTAGATTGGAACTTGTTAGAGCAGAGGTAACCTAGAACTTAAGGGAAAAACTACATGAACAACCTATGTAGAGCTGTTTTCCTTATTTTTTACCAAGGTTATTTTGATTGTTTGGTTTAGCTAGCTCATCTTTTTAAGCCTGCCTGGCAATGTTATAAGTTGATGACCCGCCTATGGAAATGCTGAATGTAGGTCAGGTTTAGACTCTGATATAATCAGTGATGGCAAGAGAAAAGGAGCTGGATCCTAGGATTTTCTGTGGTTGAGGGAGAACCATTCAGAAGGGTCTATGGCTGTGGCTGGCTAGCCGTGTCTAGCCCTATGAAAAGCACACATATATTCCTCCAGAAACAATTTGGCCATCCTATCAAATTGGAAAAAGTCCTTCAAATTATTCTAAGTGCCAACCCTTTAAGGAAGACTAATATCTGTACATTTCCTTTACATAATAAAAAAGCAAATGTAATAAAAGTGACAAAAAGATAAGTATATTTGTTGCCAGCAGTATGTTAATTTCAATTGCTGTGTCTTACCCTTAGATTTTCATAAAAGAGGCTACTTATGTTCAGAGAAATTAATGGACTTTATTACTGATTTGTCTTATTGTATTTTCCATGATTAGGAGACATTGGGAAGTATATGTGAATGTTCATTATAATCATAGAATACTATATTTAGTTTTACCATTTAGTATAAAGCTTGATAAACTAAGCACTAGATGAATATTTGTTAAACTGAATTATGTGAACACTGTCTCTAGGGCAAAATTAAATACAGGACCTTCAATATATTAAGAAAGGAAAATTGGAAATGCATAAATGCAAAAACTTCCAGTTCCCTCAGGAATACATTAAAATTAAACTTAATATCCCCTCGTATTTTTACAGCAATGGTAACTTTTCAAAATGCTTTCAAAACAAATGAAATTCATTCCATAAAAACTAAGTAATAGAGCCCTGGCTGGGTGGTTCAGTTGGTGGGAGCATCGTCCCGTACACCAAAAGGTTGCGGGTTCGATTCTCAGTAGGGGCACATATCAAGGTTGCGGGTTCCATCAGTCAGGGTGCATTCAGGAGGCAACTAATTGATGTTTCTCTCTCACATTGACACTTCCCTCTCTAAAATCAATGAACATATCCTCAGGTGAGGATTACTTCCCTCTCTAAAATCAATGAACATATCCTCAGTTGAGGATTCTTTTTTTTTTTTTTTAAGGAATAAGAAAAAGTATTTACTGAGTGGCAACTATTTCCTTGACACAAAAACCATTTTAAAGAATCAACAGATCTTAATCTTTTTTTTTTTTTAAGGAATAAGAAAAACTATTTACTGAGTGGCAACTATTTCCTCGACACAAAAACCATTTTAAAGAATCAACAGATCTTAATGACAATGTAAATACATTTTTAAGTAGAAATTGACTTCAGGACTTTGAATCTTTTTACTATAAGAACAGATTTGCCCAAACAAAAAAGGGAAAGTTAAGAATAGGTTGGCAATAGTAATGAATTCAAATTTACTCCCATAACTAGTGTAAGTTTGCATTGATAACACTAATATTTTCTTTATTTTTCAGTATTATCTGATTTCCAGATGGCAATATACATAAATTTTCATCTGATATTTCTTAAGATTTGCCTCAGTACACAAATATGAAAAATTGACTATACATTTTATTCTATTTCAAATGTACTGGTATCACCGACTCTATGAAGGTCAGTTGTAACACCAGTCTGACTTGTGGTTTGGAACATATCAAAAAAATTTTAAGTTATATTTATTTGAACTAAATAAATAAATAAATAGGTAAAGGCACTAAAGAGAACACAATATAAAACATAGGAATATTAGTTCTCTTTCATGTTGCAATCTAGAATGAAAAATCTTTAAATAAACATTTGCTGTGTACATACAAAGTACCATAAGCAGCTCACTGAATTCACAGTTGGTGGGACCCTGGCTACACGTAGGACAAGCTTGTGGTGTTCAGCTTCACACAGGCACATGTTATGAAGCAAGGGGCCCTGGCTACAAATCCTGTGACCTACCTTCTTGGTGGAGTTGATGATAGTGCCAAGCACAGAGACTAATTTTACAATATCTTTGTTGTCAGAAACACTCTTATAGTAGTTCCTGGGTTGCACAGGAATGGGTAAGTTCACAGATGCTATCTCAAAGGTATCTAAAAGCAGAAAAAGAGAAAAAAAGTTTATATCAACAGCATAACAAACATACTTTAAAAAGAGAAGGTCATTTCTATAATGGTAAAGTAAAGACCTTTGAAAACATTGGGGAAAAAACTGTCAATATCAATTTCTCAGAACTCTGGAAATTATCCAAAGCTTGCAACAATCCAAGAAACATTTGTTTAGTCAAGAAAAATACTAAATCCTGTAACAACAGTGAGTTTTGTGGTGTTTTCACTTGTTCTATGCCCACTGTCCCTTCACTGGCTAGGCAGGAGCCTCAAAAAACAACAGCCATACAAACACTGTGACTGTGCAAACCATAGCCTAGCAGTCAACAGAGGAGGCCAGACTGGGTTTGGAGCTCCTCAAGAAGCCCCATAAATTATCACTATTTGACCAGTCTGGACACTACCTCACTACCTCGAAAAGCCCCATTTAAAGAGTTTATCTTTACTTCACCTGATTCAAAACTCACTGAGTGTGGAAAAAAAAAATCCCTATCTCCAAGGCAAAACTAATCAGCAACAATTGTTTAACTTTATAGCTGCCTGAGGCAATGCTATTAGTTGGGGGGCAAACAGGAAGCTGGCCAAAAAAATTTAAAGATCTGGAAATGAGATGTCCATCAGGGGTAGGGTGGGGGGTGGGGTATTATAACGCCCTGATACATTCCTGGAGCTCAAAGCCACATATATGTACAGAGCTAGGCACATGCCCAGGAGAGACCTAAAGATGCCCCAATATTTTAGCTCTGGCTGAACTTGAGGCTTGCACAATCAGTAAATAAAGACTAAGGCAGTGTTATAACTTATTGAGCTTCCAGGGTGCCCTACACATAGTGCTCCAACACACACACACACACACACACACACACACACACACACACAGTGTCCCCAGGTAGAGGGTGGAAGACTTACTGGTTCAAAGCAATAAAGGAAATCTCTGTGCAAGCATTAGTTGAACACTAAGCTAATGAAGCAGAGATTACAATAGTACACACCACAGGCAAGACAAATTTTATAGAATTAGTCCAGGAAAGTCAATAAAGAAACAAACAGTAACAACACCAGACCCTGGGGGGAAGATAACCAGATTCTCAGAGTTGCCATTTTATATTCTTTAAAATATCAACTTTTCAACAAAAAATTAAATTGTGAGACGTGCAAAGAAACAGCAGAGTGGTGCTTGCACACAGGAACAAAAGCAGCCAACAGAAATTATACATGAGAAAGCCCAACCAGAGGGCATATAACTCAGCAATTCCACTTAGAGGTATATACCCAAGAGAAATGAAAACAAATGTCAGTACAAAAAAATTTGTATGTGAATGTTCATAGCTGGATTATTCATAATAGCTAAAAATGGAAACAACCCAAATACCCATCAACTCGTGAGTGAATGAATACAATGTGACATACCCATATAAGGGAATCCTTTTTATCAGTAAAAAGGAATAAAGAACTGATGCATGCTGTAGAATGGCAAATCCACAAAGACAGAAAGTACATGAGTGGTGCCATAGGCTGTGGGGAAGAGGAATGGGGAGTGACTGCTAATGGGTACAGGGTTTCTTTTGAGGGTGATGAATATATTCTAAAATTAGATAGTGGTGATAGTTATAAACACACTAAAAAACACTAAATTGTATGCTTTAAAGGATAAATTTTGTTATGTAAACTATATCTCAAAGCTATTATTTTTAAAAGATGTGGCTTATTTCTTTTGTCATGACAAAAATATATATACAATTTTATTGAACATTTTTTCTTCTGAATTTAAGATATAACGCATAACTGAACATATTTTGAGTTTAGAAAATTCTGAATTTTCACCTATTCTAGGAAGTAAAGCAATGTTTTCGCATAATATAAAAGTGACATTAACACAATAACAACATATGTTTTTTAGCTAAAATAAATAAGTAATATTGTAAGTTGTGAGTAAAGTTGTCTTGAGCTGTCTTTACCCTCCTCAGTAACAGACTGTTCTAAAGAAAAACTTAACTTCAGTTTCTTCCTCATGGTTAGTTGATTTATTGTCTCAGGACATGAGCACTAATTGAAAATTACATGGGGTCTGTTGTTTGCAGGGCTGCTTTAAAAGAAGTTTGCAGAACTAAAGACAACATTTAATATAATGAGGAACCTGCAGGTCACATGCTCCCTAATTTTACAAAATTCAAATGAAAACCATGGGTTGTACAGCATGTTCACACATCATAGGATGTTGGCAAAACAAGACACATAATGGGTTGAAAATGTCTCTTTAGTATCAGGAAATATTCATTGTGATGGTGACAAGTATCTCTTTAAACTGAGAAATTAAACCCCAGTTCTCATCATCACATTGGACCAGAAATCAATGATGCACCCAAAACTGTGGGATACCCATGAGAGGTAAACTATTTGTAATGGTGATATTAAAACACATGGATCTTTATATTTTATACACTTAAAATGGGATCATAGATTAATATTCCAATCTATTCTGATTTAAGAATTACATGGAGAGAACATGCATTTTAGCTCAATAAATACTGCTTACAATGACTAGTTAAAAAGAACCAAAAGAACATTTACCTTGAGGTTCGTTTTCTCCCATTTCAACATCAGAATCACTGTCTTCCTTATTCTGCAAAGCAACCATTTTTCTTTCATGCATCTTTCTCTAAAACATAAAAGGACATTTTTCAGCTCAGTCTCATCTGTAAAAGATTTTATTTTATTTCATAGGAAATAATATCTTCATCCCACACCCACCTTGGACCACGGCTCACTGCTCCATTGTCTAACCCCTTTGGTGACGTTGACGATGCACTCCACAGCTTTGTTCAGCGTTTGCTGTACATCCTCCAGAGCAGGGACCATGGAAATGTTGGGAATGGCCAGAGTGATGCCTGCCCGGAAAATGGGCCGACCATTCGGCTTCATCTGAGATGCACTGTTACTATCTGAGTAAATGGAAAACAGGGCAAATTTAATCTTTTTTAACTTAAAATGGGATTTTTTCATTATTAACCAGAAAAATTAAAACACCTAGAACAATATACGTGTAACAAGTATATACTCAGATAAATATTTGTTGAATGAATGAATAAATGAAACTATTGGAGGATCTAGTTTTGTTCCATATAACAGAGCAGCTCAATAGTACCCAAGCCATTTTCTGTTGATTACAATTTGTTGGTACACCTTCCATAGATACCCACTGTGTGGGATCAGGCTTAATTACCCAAACTCTTATCTACAATACTGAAAAGGATTCTGCCCAAGTAATAGGATGTGAACAAATAAGTTATATGTAGAAAAAATAAGCAGAAGATCAAGAAGAAGAAGAATTATCAAATCAAGCCAAAGTCAGAACAAATGACCAGTTTGGATTTTCAAATAAAACATATGCCTTTCCTACCACAATTTATATAATTTAAACTCAGAGCAATTAAAAAGTGGAGAAAAAATAAAGTACAACTCACAATTTATATCCAAGGGGCTTTTAAAGTTAGATAAAGGTATATGTATATAAATATGGGCGACTGTGTGTATGTGTATGTGTGTGTGTGTGTGTGTGTGTGTGTGTGTGTAACTTTATATACTTATATAGTTGGAAATGCCCAAAATATATAAAGTTGGGAAATAAATGTGATTTAATTTTCAGCATATCAACCAACATTTGATAAGTTCTAATACTATGCCTGTATCAAAAAAAAGACTATCCTCCATTGCAAGTGAAATAAAACATAACGAACCAGGCCACCAATCAAACAATTATTTCAGTGTTTCCATTTTTCAGTTATTCACTTTTAATTAAAGATGCTTTCTCTTAAATGCCAATATTCAAAATAAATAAAAAGGCGACTGTGTGTATGTGTATGTGTGTGTGTGTGTGTGTGTGTGTGTGTGTGTGTAACTTTATATACTTATATAGTTGGAAATGCCCAAAATATATAAAGTTGGGAAATAAATGTGATTTAATTTTCAGCATATCAACCAACATTTGATAAGTTCTAATACTATGCCTGTATCAAAAAAAAGACTATCCTCCATTGCAAGTGAAATAAAACATAACGAACCAGGCCACCAATCAATTATTTCAGTGTTTCCATTTTTCAGTTATTCACTTTTAATTAAAGATGCTTTCTCTTAAATGCCAATATTCAAAATAAATAAAAAGGTTGTATGATCCTATTATTTTCCCATTTGAAGTAATTACTGTTTCTCTTTTTTTACTATTTTAAATTTAAAATTTAATTTAAGAATGTCTGTAGATTTGATGGATTTTTGTAACCCATCTGGGAAACACAACACCTGTTTCTGAATTGTGCTGAGGAAGAGCTGATTGTATTGATAATGAGGAAACCAGCTGGAAAGTAGTAAATTGACACAAAATTAGTAAAAAATAAATAAATAATAATAATTTCTGCTTTGAAGAGCATGGCATTAATAAGATCTCTCTCACTTTATAAGACTGGCTAATCAACTAATAATTTAACAATGAAATTATCTTTCCATATATCTCCTTTTTAAAGTACGCAAGGTATTTTTCTTTTACTAATTCATTTTACATTTTCACCTTGTTACAAAAAGATTAAAAGTAATGGCAACTATTATGCCATTATCAAAAGCTAAATGACCTTAAGCAAATTACTTAACCTCCCTGTGCTCTGGTTTTCTGTTTTAAATTGAGGATAATGATAGTATCTACTTCAGAGAATTGTTGGGGAAATCAAAGTTCATGATGTATAAACTTACAAGGAGACACTCAATAAATGTGGGCTTTTTAATTATTTAGATTTCTCACACACACACACACACACACACACACACACACACACACACACACGACCAGCCACTATGCCTGGCCAGCCAGTAGGAAAATTCTGTGGGATTATTACCCCGGAAGCTAATCGTGTTGGATGAATGAATTCGCTTGCGAATGGCCTCTAGTGTATTCCTTGTAACCTTCAGAAGAGCATCCATGTTTTGGTGATTGAAATGAGAGAGCAACTCGCAGGCTTCTTCCTCTAAGATCTCAGCCTCTTTCTTCTTTCTCGTGATTGTCACCAAAGGCAGGAAGCCTGAGTCAGCATTAAGGGAAGATGTCGAGGTGTCGGAATGTCCTTCTCTTTTTGCTGTTACTAGATGATAAAGACAGAGGGGAGAAAACATCTGTTGCAAGAAATAACAATAAATTACATGCAAAACTGATAACACTTAAATGTCACACTTCTTAGAAAGTGAGGCCATCAAAGGATAGAAAATGGAAAATGTGTCACCAGGTGGACTGATGGAGGCATCTCCTCCTCAGCATGAGGAACAGGAGGAGAGGCAAGAGCAATGACTGAAAAGCAAGATTGGGCCTCAGGGTCCTGGGTTCTGGTGCTCTCTCTTCCACCAAGATCCAGAAAACCTTAGAGCTTCCCATCTCTGCCTTTCAGTGTTCTCATCTCTCCCACAAAAGGTTTGCTCTAGTGCAGATGTACTCCCATGGAAACTCCCAAACCATAATCCCTACTACTCTATTGATAAGGAGAAAAAAGCCCACACTCATAGCTAAATGCAAAGAGAGCTAACAAGAGCCAATGAAAATTACATGTTTAGAGAATTTAACAAAAAATAATGTAATTAATGACACAGGGTCATTGCATAATTTTATATTTATAAACATTCTTATAAAATTGGGAGGGTGTTTATAGAAGTGTGAAATTAGTTGCTATGCAGAAAATGTAATTTTAGTTAACAGTAATGTCCTAGAAAAAACAAGACCCTTCCACTATCCCATCTTTTACCTGAACTTTTGTTTTTTGAATCAGCACCATTCACATTGGAGACTTTTTCACTTTCTTCTTTGAATGGAACTTCCACATCTAGCAACATATTTATTAGCTCATTGACTGCTTCCTCCACTAATGAGCTTTTAAAGTGTAGTATCTGAGCACCATTTACACAAAGGTCCTATAAAAGAGTTAGCACAGCGTCACATTTGTTTATCTAGCTTTTGAGAGCACATCAGCAATAGCAGTAATGCCATAGGTTCGGCCTCCAGATGAGATTTGGGCCTCCAAAGATGCTTGGCCACATCCCTCACACATGCCCAGACATGGCATCCTGTAAGGGAAGGTGTTAAAGACAAGGGAACCAGCCAGTCAGACAAATACCATATGATTTCACTTATATGTGGAATCTAATGAACAAAATAAACAAACGAAATAGAAACAGACTCATAGAAACAGAGAACAGACTGGTGACAGCTCGATGAAAAAAGGTGAAACGATTAAAAAAAATAACTCATAGACAGACAACAGTATGGTGATTAACAGAGGGAAAGAGGGTTGGGGGATAGAAGAGGGTAAAGAGGGGGTAAATGGTGATGGTAGCAGACTTGCCTTTGGATGATGAACACACAATACGACATACAGATGATATATTATAGAATTGTACACTTGCAATCTATATAATCTATTAGACAGTGTCACCCCAATAAATTCAAAAAAATTTAATTTAATTATTTTAATTATGATCTTCTTCTAAAATGTAGAAATGTGGGACTAAGAATAAAATTCATAGGTTTATAGTTCTTAAAATTCTATACATCAAAAACAAATATATAAATTATACACAAACAAATAAGAAACCAGTAAAATTCAAGTAAACAATATTAAGTTTACTATAAGATTCATGAAGTATTCTGCTGGAACTAAAGGGTGGGTGTTAAGAGTGGGGTGGTAGAGCCGCAGATTCAATTTTATATATAAAGCCTATACTTTCGGTTCAATAATACTAATAAAAGGAAGACCTGCTTACACAAATAGGCTTTAAAATTTTCATTAATGCATTTAGGCTTTGCTTGTTAGTGCAGGCTATTCAGATCCATGAATAATCAAAATGAAGGCCTTGTTTTAATACATTAACAGATAAAGAATCTGAAAGGGAGAGGAGAGGAAAGTCTACGCTGAGCCATTTGGACACTGGCTCCACCTTGCCCAGGTTTCCCGGCAACGGCCCCAGAACCCAGAACGTGTGCCACAGAACACCAGCTTGGGAAACGCTGCTTTACAGAAAAGTTCAAAGAAGAAATTCTGCCCAGGAACTGTTTAAAACAATTGCTTTATTAATTAATCCTAGCTTACTAGGAGCTCTTCAGCTAAATAGCTCTATTTTTCAACCAATATGAAAAAAAATGACAAATGTGTTCCATGCGATTCCTTCCTACTGACTGGAAAGGAAATGACTTCTTCCTCATGTCTAAGGGACTCCCTACACACATTCCTCTTCATTATCATCCAAAGACTCCATGTTTAAATAATATCTATCCCTGACCAATCACAGAAAAAAATGCAATTTATGCTTCAAAAAATGCCCTCCACAGAAAAATGAATCACAAAACAATGTTTAATAAAAACATTAATATTCTAGTAACCTTTGTCATTTGGAGAAACTCTTCGCAGGTAAGCGGCTCCTCCTGGGGGAGCTGACAAAGAGCCGTGCTGCTCATTTCTTCCAGAACCGCATCAATGCGGAACTCGATCAAATCGTTGACCCTGTCAACCAGCAATTCCAGGTCCTCTGTGGAAAAAAACAGAAGTGAATAAGAGAGATTAAGCATTTTGTTGTGTTTTGTTCTTTTTTTTTTTTTTATCCTCACCTGAGGATATTTTTCCATAGATTTTTTGAGAGAGTGGAAGAGAGAGGGAAAGACAGAGAGAAATATCGATGTGAGAGAAACACATCGATTGGTTGCCTCCTGTGAGAGCCCTGACCAGAACCCAGGGCTGGGGAGGAGCTGCAAGCGCGGTATATGCCCTTGACCAAAATCGAACCCCGGATCCTTCGGTCCACAGGTCGACGCTCTACCCACTGAGCCAAACCAGCTAGGGCTTGTGTTTTGTTCTTAAATCAACATTGGATTAAACTGCAGTAGTAAAACCAGGATTAAAGTCACTCCATACCAGTTTCAGTCTTGGTTTTCTCACACTATTCTTTCTTTGGCCAGTTTTCTAGTTTTCTCAGCCTACCTAACTCTGACTCAGACTTGAAGATCCTGCTCAAATGCATCTCCCTGAGGAGGCTACCTGTGAGCTACACATACTCGTTCGGCCCCCTCCTCTCATACCGACATTGACCCTGAGCAGCCTTCCGTTCCTACATGTACCACATGGTCTCCTCTTTGTGTCTTATCTTCTGGAATGCATGTTTTTCAACCTTGCATCTTCAACACTTAGCCCAGTGCCTATTCCACAGGAGGTATTCAACAGATCCTACTGAAGTGAAATTCCTTCAGTGTTTCTTTTACTATCACTACCATAAGGTATATTTTAAGTTGTAGTGAAGTAATATTGAACACCAAGTTCTATGGACAGAAAGGCCAATTCTGAAACAAATTAACAACTTTACTTCCAAAGTAGGAATGGTGGTTAATGGATTGCCATCTATGAAGTAAATACATTTTTTCAACATTTCTCATAGAGTCAATTCTCTTTTTTTTCCCCTGATACTACTTTCTTCTAGGAAATGAAGTTAAAATTAAATACAGAAAAATCCATGTTATATATTCATGATGTATCAGAGATGTAAACACTTCCTTAAATAAATACCTGAACTTCCTAAAGAATCCTCACCCGAGGATATTTTTCCATAGATTTTTTGAGAGAGTGGAAGAGAGAGGGAAAGACAGAGAGAAATATCGATGTGAGAGAAACACATCGATTGGTTGCCTCCTGTGAGAGCCCTGACCAGGGCCCAGGGCTGGGGAGGAGCTGCAAGCATGGTATGTGCCCTTGACCAGAATCGAATCCCGGATCCTTCGGTCCACAGGCCGATGCTCTACCCACTGAACCAAACCGGCTAGGGCTTGTGTTTTGTTCTTAAATCAACATTGGATTAAACTGCAGTAGTAAAACCAGGATTAAAGTCACTCCATACCAGTTTCAGTCTTGGTTTTCTCACACTATTCTTTCTTTGGCCAGTTTTCTAGTTTTCTCAGCCCACCTAACTCTGACTCAGACTTGAACATTCGGCTCAAATGCATCTCCCTGAGGAGGCTACCTGTGAGCTACACATACTCGTTCGGCCCCCTCCTCTCATACCGACATTGACCCTGAGCAGCCTTCCGTTCCTACATGTACCACATGGTCTCCTCTTTGTGTCTTATCTTCTGGAATGCATGTTTTTCAACCTTGCATCTTCAACACTTAGCCCAGTGCCTATTCCACAGGAGGTATTCAACAGATCCTATTGACGTGAAATTCCTTCTTTTACTGTCACTACCATAAGGTATATTTTAAGTTGTAGTGAAGTAATATTGAACACTAAGTTCTATGGACAGAAAGGCCAATTCTGAAACAAATTAACAACTTTACTTCCAAAGTAGGAATGGTGGTTAATGGATTGCCATCTATGAAGTAAATACATTTTTTCAACATTTCTCATAGAGTCAATTCTCTTTTTTTTCCCCTGATACTACTTTCTTCTAGGAAATGAAGTTAAAATTAAATACAGAAAAATCCATGTTATATATTCATGATGTATCAGAGATGTAAACACTTCCTTAAATAAATACCTGAACTTCCTAAAGAATAAAGCCCTAAAAGTTCCAGTCATTTCTAAGCTAATTATTAAAGAGGCTACTCCAGATACCAAATAGTTCTGCTTGATAAGCTTACTCATTACTAAAAGAAAGTCAACACTTTTATTTAAGCATGTGTGGGCTCAATAACATTCTTTACTACTTCTGATTCTTCAAAGCCTCCTCAGGGCCACC